TATTGTGGATAGGTAAGAACTTTCTCAGAGGACTTCGAAATTAGGCCGGCGAGAGTAAAAGGGTCTTTACGAATCAGACCCCAAACGGATGCCCCAATAGCAAGGGGCCCTGTCGGCCAGAACTTAACTTCGCGAGCAGCAACTCAAAAGACAAAGTTCCTGAGGTAAAAGTCACATCCATAATGAAGTGGAAAGTCGTTTTGAAAGGTCACAACAGGTCCTGAATGAACAGGTATTGGACACAACTTTCAAGACTGAGTTAGGGTCATGTCTCCTCGATGAAAAGACATGTCTGTTCGGCAACGAGTCAAAGGCCACAGTCCCAGTCCAGTCATAATCCCACGAGTCAGTCCTGATTCAGACCAGGAGTCCAAAAGACAGGCCCGATGGCCCAAAGCAGCAACAGACCATGGGAAAAGATACTGGGACACACACTTCGCAACAATCGGTACTGGGCAGGAGTCCCAGGCACCTTTGAGGCTGAATACAGGCCACGCCAGACCAGTCCAGCACTATAAAGGACTGGCCAGCCTCCCATTTGGATAGATGCTCACTTCGCATGAGAGTGTGGAAGTGCCGTGGCACTTGTGCGCTAGATGTGTGTGAGCTGCGCTAGGCTGAAGAGCAGCGCTATGTGGGAAGGAGGAAGAGAGTGCTGGCTAGAGGGAAGGCAGCCATAGCTGCGCCAGCACTAGTTAGTATGTAAGTAGGGATAGTCAGTAGGAGATACCAGTGAGTAGTATTCAGAGTACATCTTCGTGTGATAGGGAGTGTGCATGCATGACGAGTGAGGGTAGACCAGGACTATAGACATAGAGGGAGAGAGAGAAGAAGGCAGACGAGAGAGGGGGAAGTGAGAGCTATGGTGATACTTACCTGTTGAGCGCTGTTGACATCTAGCAGCTGGTGCTGATGAGCGCCAGGCTTGGAACTGATGTTGAAGAAGACTTGTAACTCTGTTCAGCGCTATACATTTTTGAGCTCGCGATGTTCTCTCTCTAAATCTGGGTTTAATAATTGAGTTGAGCTTCCTGGTTCTCATTCATCTTCTATTGGGTTTTGTGTGAGACTTCGTAATCTGTGAAATCAGTGTATATGCATGTGATCTGATGCACTCCAGCAAGTGATGAAGAGTCGGGTTCCTTGCAAAGAGCAGTATCAAAGGTCCTGGCGAGAGCAATAAATTTTATGTGTAAGCAACAAGAAGTGGGTTTTATTCTGCGTGGAACAAATCAAGTAGTTCCCAAAGTGCACACATGTAATGAACAAGCAAAGGATAAATTTGGGGGTGATGCTGAGTTGACTTGCTCCACGTATGACGTCAAAGATATGTTTTTCAATCTGGATCACACACATATCCTTAACGCCATGCAATGGATGATTACCAGTATAAGAGGGAAACAAAGATCTCACCTATGTTATGAAGTACGTGGAAAGTATATAAATTATGGGAAAGCAAATGGAGCATGGGGGTGGAGAACAATAAAAATTGAACAATTGATCGATTTATTGTTCTATGATATTAAACATTCCTACTTCTGCGTACTAGGAAAAGTATTACGCCAGATTAAAGGGGTACCAATGGGAAAAGGATCCAGCCCTCCCAATGCCAATCTGGTATGTGCATATGATGAGTACGCGTGGACGGCATCATTACGCACAGACAGTAGATTGGTACATGGCTGGCGGTTTGTCGATGATGTGATGATTGCAGTAATCACGGACAACAGAAACAGACAGAGCAGAAGAGATTCTAGAGTCATTTCGTACATGCTATCACGAGTCTCTAGAGCTGGAATGCACGCCGGATGTTAAGGCTCAGGAATGGAAGTTCTTAGAAACCACGACGGAGAAAGCAGATACGGAACCCTTCCTAAAGTGTACACATAGAATGAAGAATGAGAAGGCACTCCAGGAGGGGGTGAAGGGCTCTCATCGGACTTTGCGGTCCTCACAATTTTAGGGACATTACATGGCATAGTGGCTAGCACATACAGTGTACAGGATGTTCCTCGAATTCTGGAGTTGCTTGTGGTAGAACTGAAGCAGCTAGAGTATCCGACGGATGTCATTATAACTGCAGTAGAAGCATTTGTCAGGAATTGTCGAAATGAACAGATGAAGAAAATTGTTGGGAAATTCAAAAATATGACATTGTTTCATCACATCACATGATGAGATACGGTAAGTCGGGCAGGAGAAACTGGATGGATGGAATTTCGGGTTATAAGTTGTTTAACAACAGCTTGGGATTGAAAATTCTCGGACTACACTATACCTCGACAGTATTGACGAGTCACGGTGAGTCTTCTACGACATTGAAGGCACAAGGACACGTACACAATGTGTACGCCGCTGGAAAATGGACAGGCAGAGGACAATACGAAAAACAGGCCTGCACAAAAAGCACACGAAGGTATAATGGCAGGACTACCAGGCGACTGGGCTACGTTTTTCAGCAGAGGAATTTGAGCGCACTACGAAATGGTTGAGCTACTCACCGGAGAGTCGAGTGGGATCGCAACAGATAAGGGACAGGTTGAACAGAGGACTGGACTTATATTCGATAACTGGAATAGGCACAGATTGTGAGACTGCGTACATCCAGCAAAGGACTTTGGGAGGACGGAATATAGAACGACTAGCACAAATCAGTGGGTAAGCTGAAATCGCAAAGGTACATGGCGGGTGAAGCATGAGACAGAGGACGATGGTAGGTGTAAAGTATGACAACACGCTGATTTTGAATACTCAATGTCGGAGTTCACTATATATTACGGAAAATGGCTGAGAAGATCATCTGAGCAGGAGGCAGAAGGATGATCACGACTAGGTTGTGCGCCATGTGCTCAATGTGTTCACTGTGAAAGTAAAGCCTCACACATTGAGTTCAGTTGCTGTTGCCTATCTCTCTCTCTCTGTGCAACATCTGCATCTGACAGCTCCTTAACCCATACTCACACAGGGATTTCTTTTCGATGTATATGTCTGTGGCGGTGTATCTTCCTATGTTCTTGCGGAAGATTCCTTCTCATTTGCACATTGGCAGTGCTCAGTTGACGCACACATGAAACAGTTGAATTGCAGACGAGAGTTTGAATCCAGCGGCGACCACAATAAAATAGTTCTGATTTACAAAGGATCCGACGGCGTGCTGATGCCTTGGCGGATGCCCCCCCAAATGCTGTGTGTCCCTCATGTTCTAAAACAAGCACCCTCAATGTCGCCCGGGCCGGATGATGGCCGTGCCTGGGGTGGGGCTGGCACTGGGCGACGGCTTCGCCGCGGCGGGTTGACTTGTACTCTTAAAGGAAAGAGCGGGTCTTGCATGACGGTCCCTCCTGATACCCGCTCCGGGTGTTGGGAAAGGCCGTGCGAAAGGGGCGGAGCCGTGCCACACTGCTGCAGGAGGCAGCCCCGAAGCGTGCCATTTCGTAGTTTTCTCCAAAAGCGTCCGGGGAAATGGCCAGGCCCGACAAGGCACCTTGCGGTATAAGAAGCAACGTGGGCACGAGGCGAAGGCAGTCGACAATGGGCATTAGTGCAAACCCCCTTGGGATGAGCGCGGCATGGGCACCATCAGCAATGGGCGTTGGTGTTCATTGGGAACCAGCGAGCTTCTCGACCAGCTGCAGCTGTCTGATGTGATTGGCTTCGAGGGATTCAATGATCCCCGCAGCTTTTTGTTGCACGCCTGGACAATGCATCAATCGGCTCGCAAAATTGCAACCGATGATCCGTGGGCTGCCATCACATCTTGCATCATGGAGTGAAGGGAGATCGTGATGTCACGGTGGGAGACGAGATTGATGCGGATGATCGCGCAAACGTGTGTGTGTGTGTGTGTGTGTGTGTGTGTGTGTGTGTGTGTGTGTGTGTGTGTGTGTTTTAGATTTTCCTCACGACAGCCCCAATTCTACCCAGGTGAATAGATTCAGAATCAAAGCAGTCTTTGTCCTATTGCAGACAACGAGAGCATTTGAGATGTCCAATATATTAAAGCAATTTTTTAATTAGACAGTTTTTTGGTTGTCCTTGGGGTACCCCTTTCATTGTTCTTGCAGCTCCCCTTTTACTGTGCCTCTTACGCACAAGGCTGTCCACGTTGATTGTGGTTGAGCGGCAGCTGCCCACATCCCCGTGTGCCTTCATGGCCCACTTGCACGTTATTTCAGGAGGCAGAGTAAAAGGGAAGGTATGCTCCTGTGCATCTCTTCAGAGCTTCATACTCCTGTTCATTTCACTTCAGATCTTCAGCTTATACAGTTTTTGTGTCCGTCCTTCATCTTCATACTTCCGTTCGTTTCATTTCTGATCTTCATATCGTCTATATACTCTTAATGATGCTCATTCGTATGTCTTTGTTAGTAGTACAAGGGGAGTGAGGGGAGGGTAGAGGGTAAGGGGTAGAAGGCGGAGTTCTCCAGGAGTATGGGGCAGGGGAGGTAGGGGCAACGGGAGGGCAGGATAGAGTATGACATGCAAAGAGCAGGG